CACCTGCAGCCTTCCCCTGCTCCCACCTGCATCTTTCCGCTGCTCCCACCTGCAACCTTCCGCTGCTCCCACCTGCAGCCTTCCCCTGCTCCCACCTGCATCTTTCCGCTGCTCCCACCTGCAACCTTCACGCTGCTTCCCTACCTGCAGCCTTCCACTGCTCCCATCTGCAACCTTCCCCTGCTCCCACCTGCATCTTTCCGCTGCTCCCACCTGCAGCCTTCCGCTGCTCCCACCTGCAGCCTTCCGCTGCTCCCACCTGCAACCTTCCACTGCTCCCACCTGCACTCTCCGTTATCCCACCTGCATCTTTCCGCTTGTCCCACCTGCAACTTCCCGCTGCTCCCACTCGTGCAATCTTTCCGCTGCTCCCACCTGCAACCTTCCGCTGCTCCCACCTGCAACCTTCCCCTGCTCACACCTGCATCTTTCTCTGCTCCCCACCCTGCACCTTCCGCGCTCCCACCTGCGAACCTCCCCTGCTCCCCACCTGCATCCTTTCCCGCTTCCACTCTGCAACCTTTCCACTGCTCCCTACGCTGCAGCCTCGCTGCTTCCCACCTGCATCTTTCCGCTGCTCCCACCTGCAACCTTCTGCTGCTGGAGTACATGGGCACTGGGGCAGGTGGGTGGGCAGGACCTGATTAACACAGTGAGAGGGGCCTGTGCTCCAGCGGCCAGGCTGGAAGTGGGAAACCTGGGGCAGGCTGGCTTCCCTTGAGACCCTGGGGGAAAAACAGAGTGGTCCTTATACCAGAGCCCCAGCCCCCAGGACGCCTGATGGGGAGACCAAAAGAGTGGGCCTAGCACCTACTCTTCAGCGGGACTGCCAAGGAGGCAGAGAGCAGGGAGAATTCCTGCAGGTGTCCTTAAGGATACCAGAGGTGTACCCGGCCCACAGGCAGAGACCACCATCCTTACTCCACTCTAGGGCTCTCCACCAAGTGGGGTTTCCAACAGCTCGACCCCAGCCCTAAGGAGCAAAGATATATAAACTCCACGCCTCCAACAGCTCAGCAGCTGGAGAGAGGCGGCAAACAGAACGCCACAACCTGCAGCTGCTGTCAGACTCCCAGTACAGCTGGGAACCGGAACATGCTAAAGACATCATCACAAATCATGGGGGAAAGGCAAACCTGTCAGTAAAACGTCCTGGAACAACTGGGTGGCCATCCAGAACAAAATAAATAAAGGCGGGTCCACATCTCACTCTGTCCCACATCTCACTCTGTCCCACCCAGGAAAACCCTCATAGGATTAAAGATTTAAATGTTAAAAAAAAATGAAGCCGGCCGGGTGTGGTGGCTCACACCTGTAATCCTAGCACTCTGGGAGGCCGAGGCAGGTGGATTGCTCGAGGTCAGGAGTTCGAAACCAGCCTGAGCAAGGTGAACCCGTCTCTACATAGAATAGAAAACAAATGTAATGGCCGAAAATATTATATAGAAAAAATTAGCCGGGCATGGGTGGCCGTGCCTGTATCCCAGCTACTCGGGAGCTGAGGCAGGAGGATTGCTTGAGCCCAGGAGTTTGAGGTTGCTGTGAGCTAGGCTGACTCCATGGCACTCACTCTAGCCAAGGCAACAAACCGAGACTCTGTCTCAAAAAAAAAAAAAATGAAGCCATAAAAATACTCAAGAAAACAAACACAATTCTATATACTGTATAACAGATTTTGTAACAAAGACTCAAAATTAAAAGCCATAAAATAAATGATTGATACATTTGAGACTACATGAATATATTTTAAGAAAACTTGTGTCACAAAATAACACCATTAGCAAAGTCAAAAGATGGGGGGCAGAAATTATAACTCATGTAATAGACGAAGGGCTATTTCCCTAATATAGAAAAAGCTCCTCGAAATCAATTTAAAAACCCCAATAAACCTATACACAAATGGGCAAAGGACATAAATAGACCGACTCATAGAAAAAGAGAAACAAATAGCCCAAAATAACAAAAACAAACTCACTGTCACTGGAATGCAAAGTGAAACACCTTAAGATATTTTATAGGGCCGGCAAGGTGGCTCACGCTTATAATCCTAGCACTCTGGGAGGCTGAAGGTGGGCGGATTGCTCGGGTCAGGAGTTCGAAACTAGCCTGAGTAAGAGCGAGACCCTGTCTCTACTATAAATAGAAAGAAATTAATGGCCAACTAATATATATAGAGAAAAATTAGCCGGGCATGGTGGCATAAATATATATTCACAAAAAGTGAAATGATTACAGCTTTATTGAGATACAATCCCCATACTATACAATTCACTCATTTTACATTATGTATTAAACAAAATTCCTGTTGAAGTAAGAGTCACTGCTATAGTATACTATTTAGATTTCTACTACATACTTTTTTATATATTGCTTTGATTTTTTAAAAACCTGTAAATAAATCTAGTCAAAATAAATTCAAGGCTATTAGCAAGATAGAGGGCTGCAAAATGAAATTGTAACTTGTACAAAACACAAGAACTCTTAAGGAGACTTGAGTCAAGCAAAAAGTGAAATAAAAACAAAACCCTGGTTTTTTTGAACTTCGAATGTATCAGTGCACTAATGGAAGGAGAACACAATCAGTCTTGAGACTCAAGTCTGGCCTGGAAGGTCGAGCCTCAGAGCAAAAGTACATAGAGACGGAAGTCAGCTGAGAGGAACCCAGCCAGGAGAGCTCACGCGCAAATGAAAGAAAAAGTAAAAGAGAAAATAGTCAAGACACAACAGATTTTTTCCTGAGCTGAAAAAAAGACTGGAATCTACAGACTGACAGGTTCGGTGGGTTCCAGATGAGAGGGTTGGGGTCCAAGACACAGGCTGCACAAGGTGTTGTCACCATTGTGTTTGACAGGACCCAGGGGAGGGCAAACATTAATGGAATGGAAAAGATAACCATGGAAGACAAAGGAAACCAACACGAACTAGATTGAAGGGAAAAAGCCACAAAGCAAACCATGCATGTAAAATAAGCCAGCATGGTAAACCCAGTACAGCCCTGTTAGTTATTAAATGAAACTTGAACAGATGAATTCTCCTAGTAAAAGAGTCAGCTCGGGTTTGAAAACTGAGTTGATGATATACAAGAGATACAGTTAAAAATGATAACGGTTGAAAATAAAATGATTTTTAATGTAAATAAAGCAAAATAAAGAGTCACCATATTAGCTGGGCGCAGTCACACATTTGAATCCTAGCACTCTGGAGGCAAGCAGGTGGATCGGTAAGCTCAGGAGTTCAAGACCAGCTGAGCAAAGTGAGACCCCGTCTCTACTACAAAATAGAAAAATAGGCCAAACGAAAAATATATAGAAAAAACTAACCGGGCGGTGCGCAATGCCTGTAGTCCAGCTACTCGGAGGCTGAGGCAGGAGGATTGCTGAGTCCAGGACTTGACGGTTTGCGTGAGCTAGGCTGAATGCCACGGCACTCAGTCCAGGCAACGAGGTGAGACTGGTGCGTCAAAAAAAAAGAAAGAAAGAAAGAAAGAAAAAGAGTGGCCATATTAAAAATAGAAGGGTAAAATTTAAGATTAAGCACTAAAACAGGATAAAGAGAGACGACATGTAATGACAGGAAGGCACAATTTGTAAAGATAGAACACACAAAATCTGCAGCATTGCTAAACATGAAAAGCAAAAACTAATAAAAGCAACAGAAAAGCTTTATAGGGAAAATTTGAGAGGGAGGTTTAATAAAACTTTATCAGAATTAGCGTAAGAGACCAAAAACAAAAAGGATACAAAGGAAGTGAAAGCTTGAATTATACATAATCAATAAACTTAATAAACTTGATTTGATACATATGGGACCTTTTATCCCTTAAATAGAAAGTGTACATTTTTTCCATACGTCTATGGAAAAACTTAGAACAAAGTCATTTACTTGGCCACAAAGAAATTAATCAATTTTAAAAGCATAACCTATACAAATCTAGAAAAAACAAATGCTTTTCTAGTAAAATATAAAATGACCACAATTAACTAGAGAAATAGTAGAAACTTGAATAGATCTAATTATAATCGAGAAAAAATCTGCCATTGAAAAAGCACCGGGTCCAGAGGGGTTCATGGGAGGGAATTGCAGAAACCTGCGGATTTTACCTCTGGCAACTCCTCCTCCTCCAGGCGGTGTCCCTAGAACTTCCTCTCCCAGCAAGATCCTGCACCCAGCAGACGCCTCGTTGTATCATAACCATAGCATCTTGAATCGCCACCCCATAGCGCATTGTCACATCGTATCATGTTCTTCCCATGCCCCAGCGCCTGGCACTGACCACCCATGCAGGCTGGCATTTCAGCACTGACGCCCGTCCCCTCCCACTCCTGGACACTGTCAGCTCTAGGAAGGGCAGAGAATATAGGTGCTGAGGGAGGCCGACTGCGGGGGCCAGGAAAGAGGTGAGGCAGCAGGTGGGCTTCTCTAGGGCCCGTCTCACGAGGCCTGGGGCTGCAGGGAACCCAGGGCTGAGAGGTCAGTAATGGGGCCACCTCCCGACCTGTAGGGGACAGAGGGGTAGGTGGGGAGAGCTCTGGGTGGCCAGAGCTATGTGGGCTGGGCGTGGGGGACCCAGGAACCTGCTCTCTCACAAGTCAGGTCACAGGCTGGGCAGCAGGTGAGTCACGGGGAGGGAGGGCCAGGCCAGGTGTGAGGAAACCAGCCCAGGGCTGCCCTCGCTGGGGGGTGGGAGCTGTTGGGGGGGGGTCTCCCTGAGTCCCCTCAGCTTGGCTGCAGCTCCCCTGCTGTTACCAACCCCACTTTCCAAAGGCCCCTGGCTGGCCCTGAGGGAGGACAGGTGGATCTGTCCCCAGGCCAGTTGCTGTATCTCAGTCACAGCCACCTCGGGCTTCCCTTGGAGTTTGCCCCAGGAAGTGGGAGCCGGTCTAGGATCCAGAGAACAGGGGTCACCGGGTGGGCTTTTGGACCTGGATGGGGAAGGGCCTGGTGGGGGGAGACAGTGGGAAACCACGGCAGCCCCCTTCCCCAGGCGAGGCGTCACTCACAGTTCCTGGAGGAACGAAAACCACGGCCCTGGGCTCCTTCCCCTGCAGGTGCAGGCCGCCTGCTCAGGTGCCGCCTCCTGGGCTGTTTGTGTAAGAAGTGGCAGCTGCTGGGCTGTAACTCTTCCTCCCAGCGGCCAATGTCACGCAGCAGGGGGCGGGCTCCTGACTAGAGTCACTGGGCCCTCCTGCCTCTGGGGCAGGATGGTGACCGCACCCAAAATCAGGACTGTGGCCTCGGGGGAGGGGCCTTGGAGGCTTTTGCCAGGCTTCCCTGACTCCCTGAGTGGCCACCTTGGGGGAGAGGCGTCCACCCAGCCCACCCACCCCCATCTCTCCCTCCTTGGAAGCCTTTGCTTCCGCCCTCTCCTGGGACATCAGATTCTCCTGCCACACTCAGCTGCAGACAGCAAGGTCAGAGCTTGGAATTCATGTCCACGACAGGGCTGGGCACATAGGTGTGTGCAGAAAAGTGAGCACTTGTTTGCCTTTGGCTTGTACTGTTCTTGCTGAGGGTAACAAGGTGGTTAACCTTGAAGGCCACCTGGCTGAAACAGGGTCCAGAACTGACCTGGACACAGCTACTTCCTGGCTGTGTGACATTTTGGCCAGTTACTAAACCTCTCTGAACCTCTGTACTCAGGGCAACTTGGGGTACTTATGTCTGCCTTCCGAGATGCTGGGAGCTTAACCCTGGGTGCAA